CCGTGGGTATCTTCTCTCCTTTCCAGTTTTTAGCAAATACAATTCTAGCTGCCATTAAAACATTCACAATTAAATATCTCAATTCTCTATTGTATATTTCTGGTAAAATCCCTAATAAAAATATCTCTGGTTTAAAGTTTGTGTGTTTCTTTGTCATTTTTGGCTCATGACTCGACGGAAGACCTGGTGGCCGCCTGGGATAGGGCGGCCACTGGTGCTTTAGATCGGGTCATGCCTTTGCGGCCTCTGACCCGGCGCTGAATCGGCCCAGCTCCTTGGTTCTCCAAGGAGCTGAGGGAGATGAAGCGCCGGAAAAGACGCCTAGAGAGTAGTTGGAGGGCTAGTCGTTCTGGATCTAACTGAGCACTAGTGAGGTCTTATATCAAGACCTATTTAGTGGCGATAAAAGCGGTGAAGTGTAATTACTTCTCCGCTCTTATCGCGTCGGCAGATAATCGCCCAGCCGCCTTGTTTAGGGTGACCCGCTCCCTTCTCCATCTGGGAGCGCGGGAAGACCCCTTGCAAGGGCGTGCTGAGAATTTTGCGTGTTATCTGCACGATAAAATCGCTCAGATTCGGGACGGCTTGGACTCTGACTGGGTGGGTTCAGGCGATGTGTCTGAGGCGGGTCTTGAGAATGTCATCTGGGAGGAGTTCGATCCTGTGACTCCCGAGGACGTGGACAGGATGCTGGGGAGATTGAATGCAACCACATGTTTATTGGACCCGTGTCCCTCCTGGCTGGTGCTGGCTACCCAGGAGGTTACACGAGGCTGGCTCCAGAGGATTATTAACGCTTCTTTGAGTGAGGGTGTCTTACCTCCCACCTTGAAAGAGGCGGTGGTGAGGCCCCTCCTCAAGAAGCCCTCTCTGGATCCGGCTGTTTTGGCAAACTACCATCCTGTCTCCAATCTTCGCTTTGTGGCGAAGGTTGTCGAGAGTGTGGTTCCACGACAGCTCCCACAGTACCTGGATGAAGCTGACTATCTGGATCCGTTCCAGTCTGGCTTCAGGCCTGGGTACAGCATGGAAACGGCATTGGTCACGTTGGTCGATGATCTCTGGAGGGCTCGGGACAGGGGATGTTCCTCTGTCCTGGTCCTATTAGATCTCTCAGCGGCTTTTGATACCATCGACCATGGTATCATGCTCCGCCGGCTGGAGGGGTTGGGAGTGGGAGGCACCGTTTTACGGTGGTTCTCCTCTTATCTCTCCGACCAGTCGCAGTCTGTGTTGGCTGGGGGGCAGAGGTCGACCTCAAGGCACCTTGTTTGTGGGGTGCCACAAGGGTTGGTCCTCTCGCCTCTCTTGTTCAACATTTATGTGAAGCCGCTGGGCGAGATCATCCGTGGATTTGGGGTGCAATGCCATCTGTACGCTGATGATACTCAGCTGTACATCTCCACCCCAGACCACCCCAACGATGCCCTTGAAGTGATGTCCCAGTGCCTGGAGGCTGTGCGGGTCTGGATGGGGAGGAAAAGGCTTCGACTCAACCCTTCCAAGACTGAGTGGCTGTGGATGCCAGCGTCCCGATATAGCCAGCTGGTGCCATCTCTGGCTATTGGGGGCGAGTCATTGGCCCCCACAGAGAGGGCTCACAACTTGGGCGTCCTCCTGGATGCACGGCTGTCTTTAGAAGAGCATATGACGGCCGTGGCCAGGGGGGCTTTTTATCAGGTTCGCCTGATACGCCAGTTGCGTCCCTTTCTGGATCGGGACTCCCTATGCACGGTCACTCATGTCCTTGTCACCTGTCACCTGGACTACTGCAATGCTTTCTACATGGGGCTCCCCTTGATGAGCACTTGGAAGCTCCAGCTGGTCCAGAACACGGCCGCGCGGGTAATTATGGGGGGCGACATGGCGCTCCCATGTGACACCTTGCCTGCGCGAGCTGCACTGGCTTCCGGTGGTCTTCTGGGTGTGCTTCAAGGTATTGGTTCTCACCTTTAAAGCGCTCCATGGCTTAGGGCCCAGTTATTTGCGAGACCACCTTCTGCCACCGATAACCTCCCACCGGCCAACTCGGTCCCACAGAGAGGGCCTCCTTAGGGTGCCGTCGGTCAAGCAATGTCGACTGACGATCCCCAGGGGGAGAGCCTTCTCTGTGGGGGCACCCGCCCTGTGGAACGAGGTACCCCCAGGAATACAACTAATCCCGGACCTCCGGACCTTCCGTTGAGCTTTGAAGACCTTCCTATTCCAGCAAGCTGGGCTGGCTTAAAATTTTAATGGGTTATTTTAAGGGCAATGGGTTTTAATGTTTTGGGAAGCCAATTCAATTTAATTCTGTTTTTAAAATATTTTAAATTTTGTATTGTATGTATTTTAATTTTGGCTGGGCACCGCCCTGAGTCCTTCGGGAGAAGGGCGGTATACAAATTTAATCAATCAATCAATCAATAAATAAATAAATATCTTTTCTGTTCCAATTCTTATATCAAGGCGATTAATAATAATTTCCTTGGATTCACTGGCCTTTTCCATTCCCATCTTTCAATTTAACAATTTCAATAACATCTCCCCATCCCCCAAATCTGGCAGCAGAGACATGTTATGGATCCCATTTGCTAAGGAGTTTCATCTGATGGAATGGAGGAGGAGAGCCTTCTCTACCCAAGCACCTTGCCCTTTAGAACCTCATTCCACTGAGGTGAGATTGGCCCCGATCCCATTGACCTTCTGGGAATCTCTTAAAACTTAGTTTCATCAGCAGGCTTGAGAATCCTATAGAAATAGGGAGCTAATGAAATGTCCATAAAGTTTTGGATGCATTCTCCCAAGGTTTTGTCTATATTGATTGCTGATGCCAGGGGGTCTGGGGCAGTGGTGAAATTCAATTTTTTTTTACTACCGGTTCTGTGGGCGTGGCTTGGTGGGCGTGGTGTGGCTCGGTGGGCGTGGCAGGGTAAGGATACTGCAAAATCTCCATTCCCACCCCACTCCAGGGGAAGGATACTGCAAAATCCCCATTCCCTCCCCACTCAGGGCCAGACAGAGGTGGTATTTGCCGGTTCTCTGAACTACTCAAAATTTCCGCCACCAGTTCTCCAGAACCTGTCAGAACCTGCTGAATTTCACCCCTGGTCCGGGATTATTGTTTTTATTATTTGTATGTTCTTTGCACCTTATTTTTATTTTTGTAAGCCACCCAGAGTCACTAACAATAAATGGGCAGCCGCATTAATTCTACAGTAATAGACAGATAGATAGACAGAGACAGATACATAGATAGGTAGACAGTTTTTTTAGTAGTCTTCTTCTAATGATTTAGTTGTAGCTGGTTTGTTTAAATTGGGTCTGCTGTCCAAAGTCACATATATGAGATGTACAATAAGCTATGAAATGTGATAAATAAATAGATCTTTTTTTTTTAGCAAAAGAAGTTCATTTAACCACTACCGCAGTGATCTTCTACCAGGATGTGGAAACACTCCTCTTCCCACAGGTTTTTCTTGTGAGTAAACAACTTATCAATAGTTTAATTTCTGTGTATGATTATGAGAATTTTTCAAACTTCATATGTCATAGTTAAATGAATAAATATATAAAATAAGTCAGAACAAGAGAAAGCACATCCAAATATATAGATAAGATTCTATATTAAATAAGTGTGCCTTTCTTAAATGACAAGGACAAATGACTTAAGAAGGTTGTGTCTATAGTAAGAAGAAGATATGTGTGTGGAAATTAATGGAACACACATCCTGAAAAGGAGATGCTTGTATTGTTTTATATATTGTATTTTTATGCTGCTGCTACTATTAATGGGTTAGCAGCTGAAGAGGAAAATAAAACAGTTTGGTGTTTTTCATTTCATGCCAGCTGTCAGAGCAAGACCAGTCCTCTTCCCTATATATTTATAATTATAGACATTAATACAAATTTCAGCTTATACTGTAGGGTTTGTAAGAGTTTACATTCAAGTAGATGTCACTGAATTGACTGCTGAATTGACTGCTGAATAAACAGACATTAGGATGGCACTGCTGTTATCCACAAGGTGTGACTAGATTTTGTACTTTGTTGCATAGTCTGTTTGCCCAAGGCTGTTCATATTATGTAAGAGATTAAGGAAGGGATGCAAGAGTTTGCATCAGAATTTATGATGTTCTTCCTCTTTTATCTGGCTCTTCGTGACAAGGAAAATGTGGGTAACATTTTGTTTAGCAGGGAGATATAATAAAGCATCGCATACTGATTGTGCAAAATTTACAAGCTGGCACATTGACAGCATTTGTTCATGCATGGTTGTTATGAATTATATCCCAGTGGGTTCAGTGGGATGGTACACCACTGTTTGATAGCAGACAATCAGCTCTGCATAAAGAAGGTCTAGATCAGTGGTGTCAAACTTGCGTCTTCACGGCGGCGTCACATGATGTATTGTGACTTTTTTCCCTTTCACTAAACCAGGCATGAGCATGGCCAGCGCATGACACATCTGGCCCACCAGCCATGAGTTTGACACCCCTGGTCTAGATTTAATCTCTGGCATTTCCAGTTAAAACAAGAGAATCAGGTGGTGCCAGACCAATTGGAAATTGAAGAGCCCCTGCCAGTCAGAATAGACATCCTCTGCTAGATGGATAAACCACAGCAAAGCAGCTTCTTTGTTCTCCTCTTGGGTGGGGCAGGGGGGAGAGTTTTTCCCAGCTGTTGCTCTTGCATGTATGAAGTTTGAAGAAAGGGAGAGAAAATGCTGAATTTACCAAATCCCATTTTTTTCAAAGGACGGGAAGAAGATTAAAGAAAAACTTAATGATCCTACAAGCTGGTTCACGGTTGCAGGTGTGAAACAACTGCAATGGAAAGCCTAGCTTTCCTGTTGCTTATCTCTTATTCTGCTTCATTTGTCATGAAGAAGCCCAGTGAAATTTACTTGAGATTCAAAACCAGGCAGGCACAGGAAACATAAACTCCTCCGGGTGACAGGGAGGGATAGGAGGAGGGGTCATTTTTAAAGTGCCCCAAAGCGCAAACTCCAGTCTCTCTGCTCCTCGGTGGCAGCAGGTCACACTAGAATCTTCAATTGGTAGAACCGGGCAGATGACATCTGGACTTCCATTCCTTCTTCCCCCTCTTTTTTTTGCTTTTCACAAGATATTCTCATAGATACTGTGCTGGGACACCCCAGGAAGCCTCTTTCCTGAAAAAGGGTAAGGAGAACCTAATCCTATTCTTTTTGAGATTGGCTTTAATAAGCATTCATAAAGAGGGTTTTTCCTGCCTATGTTTATAGTCCAAATTTCATTTGACATGAATCTGACACGGAGCCCCAAGCTATGAGCAGAATACATCGGTTATAGGTGTGAAGTGTCCTTAGTCAATCAAGTTAGAGATATTTTTTTCTGTAATTATCTTTCTTCCTACAGAGTGTGTGCAATTTAATTTGATGGATGAAACTCCTCTCCTTTGGCTGATTGATTAAAAAAAACCAGCACTTGTCCCCAGGAACATGTCATGACTTAATCAATGAAAGGCTACCTTCTAAAAATATTATTAACTTGGGTTTTCTTTAAGTGAAGGTAATAGCCTCTTTGACATGTTGTTAAAGAAAATAAGATGGGGATATTTTAACATCTAAAAAAATAGATGTTTAGCAAATAGGAAATTTAAATGTACACTATCCAAGTATTTCATCCTATCAGGGTGACTTAATCTAATTTTTTTTTAAATTAAGCATAATCCCTATTATAAGTACCTGGGCAAGAAAAAGAATTCTGTTCTGAAGAAAGACAGACATTTTAAACTGAATGTGTCTTAAAATGGCAAGTCATTTGAAGGCCAGGGAGCATGGCTATTCTTGGAAATAGCCCTGACAGGTTTCAACAGATGCAGCCTGAAGAATGTGGCTGGGGAGGGGAGATAAGGGAGGGGGGAAGGAGCAGCTGACCCGCTGCTTTGGTAATGCTTGGGGAGGGGGATCTCAGATCCTTCTGGCATGCGAGCAACTTTGACACTTTGAACACAGATAGCTCTCTCCCTTGTGCCTGCATAGCTGTTCTTTGGGAGGAGTTATGAGAGCAGCTATGCTCCCCACAAGGAGTTTAGTTCTTCATTTGGATGCATAAAATGTTTAATGGGGCATATTTGAAGACTTAAGTGTGAAATCCTTAACAAGAGAGAAATGCCGCATTAGAGATTGTTTTGCAGGAAATAAGGTAACAATTTTATATTTACCACTTTGGCACTATGCCACCTTGCAACATGTCAGTGCTTACTTAGGTACCTCGATCTATTTGCTTTTATGTTTCACCAGTTATTTATTTATTTATTTGGTGCTTATAGAACTCCGAGATTTCCTCAAGGAAGATAGTTCTTATCCTTTCTCTAGAATAGGCTAGTCTGAGTGTGAGAATGATTGGTCTGTGACTATTCAGATTCATAGCTGAATGGAGATTTGAACCCAGTCCTGGCCCAAAACTTTGCAACTTCCCTGTAAGACATCACAGGCAGGTGTTCCAGTCTCTAACTGACTGAACACCAAAATGAAATATGAAGAAGAGCAGATTGTAGAGTCTGTATATTTGGATTCCTAAGATTTATACTATATACTGGATTGTCTGTTGGGGAGATGATGGCTGCTTACCGAGTGAAGGTTTTTGTGCTTCTCACTATGCGGTAGAAAACATTGGTCTGTTTAAAATAAAAATCCAATTAACATCCATCAAATGCATGAAAACACTATATTTTATAGCAGTTGGGAATCATGTTTATATTTTTATTATTTTTATTGTAATGTGTTTCACGGTATTGCTCATAATAGCAATTAGAAATGAATGTAAATCAGTCTTCCTGAAACTGAGCGCCCTTCAAAAGTTTGGATCAACTCCCCAAATTCCCATGCCAGCATTTCCATTACTGAGAAATCTCAGTGTAATTTTATAATGTTGTTCCACTGCTGCTGGCATTTGAGTTAGTTAACAAAATATTTAGGGACAATGAAACAAAAAGGAGGTAAAAATGAGAAGTTTATTATGTTCACCTGAGAGCAAGATAAGAAGCAATGGATGAAAAATTATCAGAGACCTCCAAACTAGAACTAAGGAGAAATTTCCTGACATTGAGAACAATTAATCAATGGAACAACTTGTCTCCAGAAGTTATGAGCGCTCTATCACTGGAGGTGTTTAAGAAGAGACCAGAGGTCCATTTTTTTGGAACAGTACTGGGTCTCTTACCTGAGCAGGAGATTGGACTAGAGGACCTCCAAGGTCCCTTCGACTCTATCATTCTGTATTCTGTAATTAAGTAGCCCTAAACACTGGAAAAGCAGTAGCTAATCATTAAAACTGATCAAAATAAGGAATCAGATCAAACCAATGGACATTTTAGGAAACTTATAGCTTACACACTAGCACCTTATAACATAAACCTAATTTAGCTTATCAGTTGCAGAAATAACTTTGAACATATTATACCCCAAACATTTTATTTCAGAGAATGCAAAATTAAAAATAATATTATTCATCTGTTAAAACAGAGTTCTGGGAGGCATTTAAGCTGTAGCTATATAAACCTGAACCTGTATTCCAGACAACTCAGGATTACATATATTATACACATTTCTAATATATGTAACCTCAGACATAGAATTAATCTATTAATTACTATTCTAACTTTCTGCTTAAAACAATGGTCATGTAGCAACCAAACAAAACGTTAATACATAACTAGATATGAGGGCATAGCATAGAAACATAAAAATGCCATTTGCACAAGAGCAAGACTTAATAATAGAATGACATCTACTCAGAAGATGCTTGTAATGGAATACAACACAATGGAAAATTAACTAGGTTATATTAGGACAAGTAACTCTTCTAACATGAAGAACTAACTCCTCCATTACTTCAAGTAGAATGATCCATTAAACTTTAAACATAGTCATCAGGGCCTGCTAACCAAACCCTTAACTAGTTTGATCTAGTTCTTCAAACCTAAGAATAGCCCTGTTGGTCAGATCAACATCCTTCCAATCAGCTTCACTGGATGAGCCTTGAGCCTAATATTTTGAGTAATAGACAAAAAAGCCTATATACAATTTTTTCATGCCTTCCATGGAATCCATATCTCATGGATATGGATATAATCATATGCTTTCTCAAACCATAGCCCCCGGAATTCCCCATTGGTTATGCTTTCCAGGGCCAATAGGAGTTGAAGTCCAAAGCAACTAAAATACCAATTTATCTTTCTCTCATCTGCTGCGAGGCCTTTATCCAAATATCAATGTTTTAAAGGAAAATAATTCCATTCCTGTAAGCTTCAATTAAGAAAGGAGTAGAGCCATCTGTCCTTTTATATGAAAGATAAGAATAGATTTTTAATGAACAAACATCCACATTGTTGTTATTAGCTTTTTATTATATCTTTTAAAAATATTTGATCAACTCAAGGTAACAAACATGCCTAATACTCCTTCTGCCAGGGGTGAAATCCAGCAGGTTCTGACAGGTTCTGGAGAACCGGTAGCAGAAATTTTGAGTAGTTCGGAGAACTGGCAAATACCACCTCTGACTGGCCCCAGAGTGGGATGGGAATGGGGATTTTGCAATATCCTTCTCCCAGGAGTGGGGAGGGAATGGAGATTTTGCAGTATCCTTCTCCTGCCACGCCAACCAAGCCGCACCACGCCTACCAAGCCAAGCCCACAGAACCGGTAGTAAAAAAATTTGGATTTCACCACTGTCTTCTGCCTATTTTTTCAACAACTGCAGTTCTGTGAGGAGGCTTGGGCTAATATGAGACTAACTGGCCCAAGTCTCCCCACTGGCTTTCATGCCCAAGGTGATACAAGAACTCACAGTCTCCTGTTTGTAGGCCAGCACCTTCACTATAACCAAACTGGCTCTGGTAATTCAGAATGGAGTTGTAATTTAATTTAGTGGGTTTTGTTTTCAAACAAATTAGGACTGTATGGGAGTCACTGATCTGCTCATCCAATTTAATCTGAAGTGAAGACTAATCTGAAAAATATCCAGTCAAATTTGCAATTGAATAAATATTAGAAAATTAACATGAGACATTAGTCCTTTTCAACCCTTACAGCTGAAGAGATAATGTAAACATGCGTGAAAGGCTCAGGATCAAGCGTCTCTGGCTTCACATTCCTCTGACTCAACCCACCTTTCTACTGTAACTTTTGTGGCAAAGGGAGGAAGCTCTGTACATGTTCCTTTTAACAGATTAATTCTATGGGATTTGAGGTTGGGTTATTGGTAAAGTTACTTGGATTAACAGCCAAGAGGACTTTTTTTATATACAAGTTAAATTGAATATAAATCCATTTCAGCATTCAGGATTGAGATCTGGGGAGACTGGGGTGACTCCTGCAAAAATGCTCTGCTTTCATCCCATCTGAAGAAGGATGCAAACTATGATTTACCAAGTGATCATTAACTGCGCAGGCATACCAACAAATGCTGCAGATGTGTTAGTAGTTATTCTCCCGCTCTTTTATATTTCATTTCTTTGAGGTATGCTTATAGATTATAGCTTTTGGATCAACTGTAGAAAGATGTTTAAATATGGGTGTACAATTATTTATTTTTTCTTTCTTCTGGGTTTTTCATAGTAAGCTCTTGGCTGTGATACTGTATTGCAGTCATGGCGCCTAAGAAGAAGAATGTCAAAAAGAACAAGATGGATATCAACGAGTTGACCATCATAGTGGAGGATGGACCACTCAGCAAGCTCAATGGATTGAATACCCTCCTAGAAGGAGGCAACGGTTTCAGTTGTGTTTCCACAGAAGTTTCTGATGCTTTCTATAGTCCCAACCTCTTGGAAGGTTTGTGTAGGATGAGACTGGAAAATTTTCTCTGTGATTTAATAATTGGTACCAAAACCAAGTCCTTTGATGTTCACAAAGTGGTGATGGCATCATGTAGTGATTACTTCCATAATATCCTAAAGAAAGATCCATCAACTCAAAGAGTGGACCTTAATGATGTATCACCACTGGGCCTAGCCACTGTGATTGCATACGCCTATACTGGAAAACTTACACTATCCCTGTATACTATAGGTAGTATTATCTCCACAGCCATTTATCTTCAGATACATACCCTTGTGAAGATGTGCAGTGACTTTCTGATGCAAGAAATCAATGTGGAGAATTGTATGTATGTTGCCAACATTGCAGAGACATATGGACTGAAAACTGCTAAGGAAGCATCACAGAAATTCATTAGAGACAACTTCATTGAGTTTTCTGAATCAGATCATTTCTTAAAGCTTACTTTTGAACAGATCAATGAACTTCTTGCAGATGATGACTTGCAGTTGCCTTCTGAACTTATTGCATTCCAGATTGCAATGAGATGGCTGGAATTTGACCAAAAAAGAACTAAGTATGCTGCAGATCTTTTGAGCAACATTCGGTTTGCTACCATCTCTGCCCAGGACCTGGTGAATTATGTACAGACTGTACCAAGAATGATGTTAGATACAGATTGCCACAGACTTCTGGTAGATGCCATGAATTACCACTTACTTCCTTACCACCAGAATACTCTACAGTCAAGAAGAACCAGGATTCGAGGAGGATTACGAGTCCTAGTTACAGTCGGGGGACGTCCAGCTTTAACTGAAAAATCCCTCAGCAGAGACATTTTATACAGAGATCCTGACAATGGATGGAAAAGACTTACAGAGATGCCTGCCAAGAGCTTCAACCAGTGTGTCGCTGTGATGGATGGGTTTCTCTATGTAGCAGGTGGTGAAGACCAGAATGATGCCAGAAATCAGGCAAAGCATGCAGTCAGCAATTTTTGCAGGTAACTGATTATATATAGCAGTGGAGACATAGCAATGACACAAGAGCTCCAGAAAAAGAAGGAGAAATATATGTATATATGTGGCGGGGAGGAGAAAGAAAGAGAAAATATATATTTCCGAGAGATAGAAAATTAATTTGGTTCTTTGCTTTAAAATTACTTTTCATAACCTGGCGACCTCCTAATGGATTGGATTACAACTATCATTAGCAATAGTCAGCAAAAGGGGAGGGGAATTATAATCCAATACATCTGGGCACGACCAAGTCAGAGAAGTTATCCTGGAGTTGGATAAGAAGCCCCTTTTTTCTTTCTCTCTTCTTTTCTAGGATTACACATATTAAAATAGTTAGTGCTATTTTATGCTAAGAGGTATGATTTTGCATGTTACTTTTTCATGGAGAAGTCTGCAGATCCTCTTTATGCTTTGGGGCAAAGCAGTCTGAGATCACATGCAGCTGCCCTATCTCACTTCGGCCTTGGAAGCCAATTCCTGAATGCTACAAAAATTCTTGCTATATTGTTACATTTGATCAATTCATAAAGTTGCCCAATAAATACGACCCAGGAGAGTGTATAGTATTAAAAACATCACATATTAACCAAAATACATTAAATTGTTATATATTACCAGTACTGCACAAAAGGCAATTTTCAAAATTGAAAAAAATTAGAATTTTGATAGGTATAGAAACTCCCAAGCCAGTGTCTAAGAGGCAGAGCCTTTCAAAAGGAAAGTAGAGCCATCTGGATTTGGGGTGGTGGGCATGCAGGAGGATGTACATAAAACAGGTGCAGTAATAGAGAAGAGACATGTCCTGTTAACACTGCTTGCGTGTCAAGACCCAGAATATGCCCACCAGGTCAGATCTTATTGAGTAGGCAGAAATAATTAGAGACAGGCAGTCTTGCAAATAACTAAGCACTTTGCCAGCAACTTGAATTGCATCCAGGAGCCTACTGGTAACCAGTGCAACTAGTGAAGTAGCGGTCTATATAGCCACATAAAGGTAGAGATGATCATGAGTAGAACTCCCAATCCTTATTTTGTGCACAAGATGGATTTGTGCAAATTACATACTGGTTCTGTTAGGCATACTGGGACCATCTCTAGAAATGAAGATAGAAACTTTCTGGATCCAGATAATCCCAGTCACTCAGTCTTACTATGGTTTTCTGAGCCTGTTCTCCCCCACCCAGAATCTTACAACTTCCAGATACCAAGACAATTTCAACAATATCACTTGGATGGCAAGGATTAAGATACATCACTGGGTTTCATCGATGTACTGATGATACCTAACTCAATGATAACAGATATTAAGCAGGGTTAGGAAGAAAATCAAGCCCTGAGGCATTTTACAAAGCAAAGGCTCAGGACTAAGCTGTGACAGCCCCATCCCCTGCCTCAATTAACATGAAACCAACCCTAAAAGAAGGAAAACCACTGTATCCTGTGCCTCTCACTTTCAACCTGCCGAGCTAATCATGAAGAACATCACAATCAATGTTACCAGAGGCCACTGAGAGTTCGAACAGCACCAGGATGCTCCCATTCTGTCCTAAAATAAGTTATCAAAAACAAAATCAATGCTGTTTTGGCATTCTATCCAGGCTTTAAAACTAATAGATTTAGATAATCTGTGACTTCCAGAGCCCTCAGAAACTGCAGCTCAATAATCTTCTCAACAAGGGAAGTTTATGGTTTCTGATATGGGTCAGAAATTGTCCAACACCACTAGGCCCAGCAATAGCTTCTTGAGAAGTGGGTAGGTCATTGCCTCCATAATTGCAAATAGAATCACCCCTCCCTCAAGGATGAATTCATCACCACTTGGCTCTATATATACCATATGTCACCTCCTTGGAAGCCTTGACCAATCAGGGCTGACATGGATCTAATATATAGGTGACTTATATGTGGTTACAGCTCTGAGGATCCTGTCCACTTTCTTGGGGCTAGAAAGTTCAAACGTTTCCCAGATAATAAAATATTAGTAATGTGAGAAACTCTTCCCTGTTTTTTTGCCAGTCAATACTACCAGACTTACACAACCAGAGTCCAATTCAAAGTAAATCCAAGTATCTTTGTTCAATATATGCCTGAAATAATCCTCTGCAGATGCAATAAGAGCAGGCCACGCCTACCCCAGCTCTGTGAAGGGAGAAAATGTTGCTATACATCACGTGACGGCAATGTGACAGTGTAAGTTTGACACCCGTGCTAAAGGGTAATAAAGGCTCTTATCTATATTGAGTCAGATTAGCTCTTTGTCTTTCTCCAGTGACATTCTAGCATCTCTTCTAGTGCTTCATCTCCTAGAGTTCCTTTGCGAATCAGAGGTCAATGACAGAATGCGACTGTAGGAAATTAATAAATTAATACATATTTGGAGAGCAATCATATTAAGTAGTTTATGTAATTAATGTTAATTCAATTTACATTAAATCAAATTATATTTTGTTCCACATATGCTAAAAAAAGAAAAATACATAAATATTCAGTTTCACTCATTTCCTCCCCTCCTCAAGTACAGTTGATGATTGAGGAGCATAGTTACCATTATAAGAGCTGTGGTGACACAGTGGTTAGAATACAATATTGCAGGCTAATTCTCTGACTGCCAGCAGTTCGATTCTGAGTGGCTCAAGGTTGACTCAGCCTTCCATCCGTCTGAGGTCGGTAAAATGAGGACCCAGATTGTTGGGGGCAATATGCTGACTCTGTAAACCACTCAGAGAATGCTGTAAAGCACTGTGAAGCGGTATATAAGTCTAAGTGCTATTGCTATCATTCCCTGCAACAACAGAGTTCCACTATTTTAATCTGTTTCTTTTTAAATTAAAAACAAAGTATGAGTGATTCAGATTGCAATTTGAGGAAAGTAATTTTCATCTGCATAATTTTCTTGATAAAAATTATCCCATTTTACCAACACTATCCTTCTGTCTATCAGGGCAAAAGTGTGTGATTTATGTCCTGTTATGGAATTCTTAGTGACTCTTTCATTTGTTTGAAACACAAAAGAACTTTTTGTAGCCCTCCATGTTTTCTGGAACATCCAGAACAATTGGGAAACTTCCAGGACTCCTGTTTGGCAGTAACCTTGCATGCCAGTACTTCCTTTTTTTCCATGACTATCCTGATAAAGGAAGAAAAAAGATAAGAGAAGGGTATAATAGGGGATATATTTACTGTGAAAGGATTTGTCAGAAGACCACTCAAGGAAGACGTTTCCATTTTAGAAGGAAGATATAAATATACAATAATTAATACATTTTTCACTATGGACATCTGCATTTCCTCTCTAAACATTATTCTAAAGAGCTGAGGATGATACACACAATTTACCCTTTCAAGATTTTATCCTTACTTGATCCTGAGAAGCTGAATGATCAGCCCAGAGTATCATGAGCTTCATGAGAGCATCAGTATTTTAGCCCACTGTGTTAACTCATTACCACACATTCGTTATTATAATGCTCCATTCTTCTTCCAAATTACTCACAATAATTTCTACAGTCAGCCAAGATGACTTAGTTTCAATGCTAGAAATATATTATGCTGCTTACTTCTTATGGAATGGAAAGATGTATATGTTCCGTTTCCCACATATGTCTTGCAGCAAAGAAGACATGTACTATCCACCATGTATGCCAATCATATATGGTTAGTTTTTCTCTTCACCACATCCTAATTATACACAGCCTGAAAACACATTTAAATTTGGGGAAGAATTATATCTCAGCACTAGAAGTTTGGATTTACATGCAGAACATTCAACGTCTGGTTTCTGGCATGTCTTGAGAAACTGCCAGTCTATGTACGTCATTCTGACTAGAGAGTAGATTGTTCACGCATAAGTAACTTTCTAAAAATAAATCTGTGCATCACAAAATCTGTAAGAAGCAAGATGTCACATTCTATAGAAGAATGGTGGAAAGCATTCCAAAATTTTGTTTTGTGATGCAAAGAACTGATTTGAAATTGGTTATACTTTAGGACCTCCTTCCTTCAGTATGCTGTAGCTGACTGATATCACTGAAACTTTTCATTTATTAGCTTCACATCTTTTAAAAATTCCCATCTAATTTTCTAGAAGGGACTCTGTAAGAAGAGTGATAGTAAAGCTAGTACAAAAGTTCTTCTTTTGTAAGTTTGCGAAACAATTGGTAACGTTTTAGTAATTATTTATAAGCATTTAAAAAAGATTTTTCCTCTTCTGAACAAAGAATGCAGACTTTTTTTTAAAAAGCATTATACATTTCTGGAATAATGTTGAGATTATCTTATCCAGGCTGGTCTATTAGGACAGACCTGCAACTGATTCAATTGTTACTTTCAAAAATATCTGTCATTGTTGTTATGGTCCATCAAATCAATTCTGACCCTTGGTGACTACAGAAAGAAGTCTACAGTTTTCCTGGCCACATTTTTTAAAGAAATGTATAAAGAAATAATTTCCTCCTTCATCCCAGCAAATACAAACAACATAAGTAATTTATGACCGTCTCTGAAAATACAACACTACCTTCCCATTACCTCATCTCTTATCTATAAACAATTTGTTAAAGCCTCATCATTTGATGCTAGTCAGGAAAAGTCCATTAAGGGTTCTCAGAAGTGTGTGTGTGTGTGTGTGTGTGTGTGTGTGTGTGTGTATCTTTGTATTTCTTCCCTTTACTTTGAACACCCTACCTTATCACTTACTCTGAAAATAGAAGAAAAGATCACTTCTTCCTATATCTCTTCTCTTTTCTATAAACAAATCTTTAAAGTCTCATCATTCAGTCCTGTCAACAACAGTCCATTAAGGGTTTCCAGAAACAATAATGTACACCTTTTAACCTAGATCAAATAAATCAACTTTATATTCCTTCCCTTTAGTTTAAACAATCTTGATTTTTAAGTAGAATCCCAGAACTTGGTTTCTTTTCATTTTCTCTTTCTCTCATCCAAGAAAATCCTTGAAAACTTCAAAAAAAACCTATTTTATAAATCAAAAATAAGGTTATCAAAGTCATTCTTCTGATTTCTTATTTGTATATCTCTTTTAATTATTAAGACTAAGTACAGAATTAATTGTCTAGAATGGGCATAGAATGGGCATAGAATTAATGCAGTTGTGTGGCATTATAAATACAAATCTTCAGTCAAGGGATAGTGACTTCAGTCAGTCACTATCTCACATGTTCATATATAATGTGATAACTCGTACCGCTTAATAATTTTATAAAACCAGTGTCAAATCGTTGTCTGTTGCCTTTCTATTTGTATGATGAATATGTTGAACAATCAAATTTATTTTCTTCTTTTGAAGGAGCATTCTTTCAGGTACTCTTTCCTACTTTAGTACCTGTATATTGGTTGTCTAAGTGCATTAGCCAACTCTGCAAAGTTATTGTGGAATTTCATGTTTTTCTCCTTAAAAGATTTTTGATAGTAAAAGAAAAAACTGAAGTGTAATAAATCAGAAGAAGCAGCTGAAAAACAAGGAAAATATATTCTCAATATGGGAAAGATCTAAACCTCTTCTCCTCATTCTCAGCTCTTCTTGTCCCTAAAAGTGTTTTTACATCAAAGAATGGAGCATGAGATGATTTAAATATGATTTCAATTAAGAAAACAGGAGAGAGATAGAGAGGGGGTGGATCTAGGACAACTCACCATGGCCAAGTGTCCATGGCCAGTTTGCCCTGGCTGGGTTGCTGCTGCCAGCTCACCCTGCTCAGGTTGCTATTTCTGGCTCACCTCAGCTAACTAGATGCAGGACAAGTTACCCTAGCCAACTGGACATGGGGACAACTTGCCACTGTGGGACAATTTGAGGAGGAAGAGGGGAGAGGAAAAGGCACTTCCTCTCCTCCATCAGAAGAAACATGGGCCCTGGCTGATAGGACACAGGGGTGGGGACCACTCATGGGGAAGGGAAGAGAATGGTACTCTACACAGGATTCCCCTCCATGTGGGGTTGATTTTTATTCTGGTGGGGGGGTGCCTCTTTCCCTCCCCGCTTCATCCTCAAATCATCCCACAGTGGCAATTCCCTTCCCTGAAAGTTGCCCCCATCCCTGCGTTTCACTGACCAGGGCTGATATTTTGTTCTGCTGAAGGGGAAGTACCTCTTCCCTTCCCTACTTTGTCCTCAAATTGTCCCATGTCTGTGAGTTGTCCACACATCCAGTTGGCCAGGGTGACTTGTCCTGAGTCCAGTTGGCCAGGGTGAGCCAGTGGCAGTGCCCTGGCCAGGGAGAGATGGCAGTGGTAACCCACCAGGGTGACCCAGCCACAGCAACCTGGCCAAGGTGACCTACTGAAAGATAAAGCCAGAAAATAAAGCTTCAACAATATAACACCTGTAAATGTAGCTGGCATTCCTGTGGCATTAATACTTCCTTAATTTTTTTCAGGTACGATCCTCGCTTCAACACTTGGATACATCTGGCCAATATGAATCAAAAGCGCACTCATTTTAGTCTGAATGTGTTCAACGGTCTCCTTTTTGCAGTCGGTGGTCGCAATTCTGAAGGGTGTCTCTCTTCGGTTGAATGTTATGTCCCTGCAATTAACCAGTGGCAGCTGAAGTCTCCACTGGAGATGCCCAGGTGCTGCCATGCTAGTGCAGTAGTAGATGGTAGGATCTTGGTCACAGGAGGCTACATCAATAATGCTTACTCCCACTCGGTTTGTATGTATGATCCTGCTAGTGACAACTGGCAAGACAAGGCCAGCCTTAGCACCCCGAGAGGATGGCACTGTGCCATTACCCTAGGAGAAAAGGTCTATGTCATGGGAGGGTCCCAACTGGGAGGGCGAGGGGAAAGAGTCGATGTGCTTCCTGTTGAATGCTATAGTCCATATTCTGGCCAGTGGAATTATGTTGCTCCTCTTCCAACTGGCGTGAGCACTGCTGGTGCTTCTACTCTTAATGGAAGAATTTACTTAGTGGGAGGTTGGAATGAAATAGAAAAAAAATACAAGAAATGTATTCAGTGTTACAACCCCGACCTTAATGAATGGACCGATGAAGATGAGCTACCTGAAGCCACCGTAGGAGTGTCATGCTGCACCATTGCCATGCCCAACACTAAGACCAGGGAATCGAGATCTAGCTCAGTATCTTCAGTACCAGTTAGTATTTAAGTTCTTTTTTTAATTAACCCCCCCTATGGATTTAAAAAAGCTATACTACATTTTTAAAACATTTCTTTCCCACTACTGGGTTGTAATCCCTTTTAGGAAGTGTCCCTATCAGAAGGGATTGAGGAGAGAAACATTAAATACTATTGGCATGTATTTCAGTTTTATAAAATGAAAAGTGGCCAATTTTCATGGAATTGAAAACACATGGTATGACCAAAGAAATTTAAATCTAATACATTTTATGCACTACAAATGTGCACTGTGAGACAAAGGCCTCTGATCCATTGATCATAACAGAGCAAAGTACCTTACTTCCTGTGGGACCTCTTGTTCAGATTCTGCAATCGATTTAGAGAAACTTGTTTCCAAGCAGATGGCTCAAAGCATGGCTGATAAGAAGGCACCGTTCAGCTAAGTTTCTCTCCATAGAGAGAAGATAAAATGTGGAACAATATATCAGAATTACAAATGGAAGACTAATATTTCTAAAGTCCATGGGCATCTGTAGTTGGGGGCAAATGATATCATGCCCATCATAATATCATAGGGCAAAGGACATGAATTATATAATTTGCAACAAAGATACAACTGAGGCCAATTACAGAATTCACATTATTTGCATGTTGACACCAGTTATCCTGACTTCTTACAGACATCTCTATTGGAATCCTCTGCAACTTTCTGTGAACGAAACAAAATAATGAGACTTATCTGGAAGCAATTAGTATTTTAAATAAGGATTTATTCCCAGAATGCAATGCTTTGCTGTACTATGATTTACTGAATAAATCATAATTGGCTGAGCTACACAGTAAGCTAAATCATTGCTTACAAAGCTTAGTGGCTCAATTCCCATGACATGCTAAATCACAGGCAAATCACATATAGCGAGTTATATGAATCCACCTATAATCTATAAGATGAAAATATGAGAAATATATCTATAAGTAAAATCTAAAACTCTTATCATATTTCTGCAGTGCCTGGGGCAATGTCAACATTTCATTAAAATGTTTACATGAAACAATAAATTTTACCCTGTGGTTAAGCTTATGAAACTGTGGTTATGCTGACCCAAGGTCTGCAAAAAGTCAGATGATATGTCATCTGAATTTGGAAGGTAGGGAATTTAGCTTAAGGTTTAATTCACTTCCTTCCTAAACAGAAAGCAAAAATAGATGCACAGTGCAGCTGCTCCAACCAGGGACCTCCTCACACAGTTTCTTCAACTCATGCATGTTGTGTGGAATAAGATAAAGATGCCAGAGAAAAGGTGGTGGCTTAGCTTTTTTTCACTCTATATAAATGAGTCCAATCCATCACTTAAAAAAAAAAATTACACCACACACACACACACACACACACACACACACACACACACACACACACATCAGGAAATGTCAGCCAGGCATTTCACAGCTAAGATGGCGGGGATACTTGATGACATATCATCAAGGTTTCTTCATGGTATTCAATATCATCTGGTATGGCATATATACATATATGGTTAGCCCCAGGTGGTTAGAAAGTTACAGTAAAGAAATAGTACATCAGGTTTCATACATTGCACTAAACTATTATGTATTTAGTTCTGTCTTACCAAGTTCTACAAATCTAGCCAACTGTGCTTTATTCAATAAACCATAAATTCCAAAACAGCCATCTATGCAACACACAGTGTATGAGGACTGTCATGTAAGTATGTGCCTCAAGAAGTCTTTCCCTCCACTTTGTTCCTTATATATCTTGTACTCCCAGCCCAATTCTGTTCCAAAAACATCTATAACTCTCCGGAAAACAGTCTGAGGACGCATTAAGAGGAATGAGTTGCCTCCCACCATTTCACAAAGAAAAGCCCTTCTGCTCATGAAAGGTCTTAAATGCGCCTATCCAAAATTTCTGTTGACCTTAATATTTCTGAATTGTATTCTGAGAGTTTCATTTCTCTAATGCCTCTTTAAAAATAAGCATCATTGGGCTTAAGGGAGCTTCTTTTTAAACAAGCATACATAAAATTGCAGCTTTGATTGAGTTTAATGGTCTTTACTTCCAGGTAAGTGTGCACTTAAATTTGTCTTGATCATACCATGTAAGTTTTTTTTAATGGTAAACAATTGCTTCATATTTGATCCATAACAAAAAAATGTTTATATATTGTTTTTTTAATCATTGTCCTCCCTATCATAGTCTAATGTAGTGGTTCTCAATCTGTGGTCTGCAGACCCCTGGGGGGACACGATGTTGTCACAGGAGTCCATGGAGGATTGGAGAAATGTTATGATTTAAATCTTGAGTTAAGTCTTGGGGGTCAGTGGCCATGGTCTGAGGCCACAAAAGGTATTTAAAAGGGGTCTGTGGTAAAGAAAAGGTTGAGAACCACGGTCTAATATATTTCTCTAATGATTTACCACAAGTAAGTTGAAATTTGGAAAATTATTTGGTCCAATAAGTTAATAGCATTGTTTAGAATATCTGACAGGGATCCAAAATCTTCATGTTAATTTACCAATGCTTTCATTTGAATTGCTTACATAACATAGTATGGAAGAAGAAGAAGAAGAATGAAGATACAACTAAATTAGTCTGAAAGGTGTGCTGTTACTGTTGTTTGATACTTGAATGGCCCTGTCAGCATGTGTCTGTCAAAGTTTAAACCAATAATGTAAAAATAGGAAACAATTTCTATTTCTTTACGAGCTGCAAAAGCAAAATAACCCAATTTGTTTGGGACTTTATTTATATTTGTGGGCAGGGACTGGGTGGGAAGGAACAAGATAAACCAGAAGTTCATATACATCTGGGTATGCACAAATGTTATCAGCCCTAAGTAAAACAAAAAGCACAGATGTTGCTAGACTAGACACTTGATCTGAACTGATTCCAGCAACGTACTACTTAACAAAGCAATAATCCCACAGTTATCAGGTATCTTCTATGGCCTTACCATTCCTGATGCCACTGGCCAGGACCAGTTTTTTCAAAGTCTAATTAGAGCTGGGGCACGCCATATCTTGTGAATAATTGCAATGGCACCTGCCTAGAACTCCTCAGTGATGTACCATTGATATCCTTTGATAGTAAGATTCATTATCAATCGACACATGTAAGAAAGAAACAATTACACCAAGGAGTAATTCTCTACCCCCAGATAGGAAAGCATACTGACAATACTAGCATTGTACAATAGGGTAACAGGCTAGAGGCTTGCTTCATATCATTATCTCTGACAAGAATATATATTTATGATCGATATATATTTTATCTTATGTATGTGCCCTTTTTATTGTGATTTGATCAGGGGGTTGTAAAACAAAAACCTTACCAACTGCTCCTGATTAATGTAGTGTATGTGTATAGGTCCTACAATCGTAGTCCCCCTTACCCATTTTGAAGGGTAATGGTAACCTATTTTTTAAATTCGTAATATGAGCATAACATTCTCTTTCTCAATATTATATGGAACACCAATGGGAAAGGGTCGAGTTTCCAGATTTTGCATTACTCAGCTCTCTTGAATATATGTGCAAGATTCTCAGTATGAAAATTAGGAGTAGCAAAAGAAGAGAATAGATTTTATACTTTAGTCTTATATTTTTATGTGGTCATTTTTACTACTTTGTTACTGTAACATTTCTCAATCCAGTTCTAAAGCCTGATCTGTATAGGTGTGCCTTCAAATCAGTGTTGACTCTTGGCAACTGCCTGGACAAATACTGGCAGTTTTCTTACAAAGTTTTCTGGAGCAGGGGTCTCCAACCTTGGCAAATTTAAGACAGGGGTGGGTTCTAAATTTTTTTACTACCAGTTCTGTGGGCGTGGCTTATTTTGTGGGTGTGGCTTGGAGGTCATGTGACTAGGTGGGCTAGCTGGTCAGTCATTTCTGGAAGGTCCTCGCACTTATGACCAGTCCTCGCACTTACAACCCGACTCATTTGTTTGCTTTTAACACTGATCAGCTGTAGGACAGCCCTTTGAAGCCCCGCGGCAAGAGTTTCAACAGTTTTTTTCCCTCTAGTCATCAGCTGGGACTCAGGAGGCAGCAATAGATTGGGGGTGGGACCAAATAAAAGGTAAGAATAACGTGGGTGGGAGGGTGGGGGGGAGAACCGGTTCGGTGATGTCATATCATCACCGCTACCGGCTCGGCCGAACTGGACCGAACCAGGAGGAACCCACCACTGCTTTAAGATTTATGGACTTCAACTCCCAGGGAGTTGAAGTCCACAAGTCTTAAAGTTGCCAAGGTTGGAGATCCCTGTTCTGGAGTGTTCTGCTACTTCCTGCTTCCCAGGGCTGAGAGGGAGTCACTGACCCAGGGTCACCCAGCTGGCTGTGTGCCAAAGCTGAACTAGAATTCACAGTTTTCCAGTTTTTAGCCTGATGCCACCTGGTGCCTTAACCACTACTCCAAACTGGCTCCCAGATATACTGATACAGTATATTCACCAGATATCTCTTGCATAACACCAGTTTTTGTGTGTGTTGGAATGCCAGTACAGAGAAAGTGAAACACTTGGAAGAAGTAATATTCACATTAACAGTTTCTATGTATGATAAGATGTCCACTTCAATTCGGGTTGATTGCTTCACATAGGTTTCAGTTGCAGTTAAAAAACATGAGGGTAGGGTGAGATTAATTGGAACACGATAATCTGGCCAATTCTGACATAATGAGGAAAACATTTTTAACAGGAAGCATAACTGACATGTAGAATTCATTGTAACAGAATGTGGCAATGAATATTGGCTTGGAGATTTTCAAAAGGGGAATAGACAGATTCAGGGAGCAGAGAGATTTGTTAACCACAACAGCAGTGGAAAACTTCAATATTTATTGACGCTAATTATCAGTTGCTAAAATATGGAAAACATTTACCTTCAAGTCCTTATGTGGGCCTCCAAAGGGCCTTTTGCCACTCTGGATGGTATCTGATTGGCTGAACTCTTATTGTTTTTATCAGTCCTAGATAACAAGAGTTCCTTTAAAAGCCATTGAAGCATCCTTAAGTAACTCTGTTTGATGAAGTTTCCAAATGCACTAAGAAAAGAGCAATCTAGTTGTCTCTAGTTTTACAAAGGTTTACAAGTAGATGGAGAACGAGGTGTGCATTCAATCCCTCTCCTTATTCTCTCAAATGTCAAACATTCAGCTTTTGGGGTCTTATGAAAGGTTGAACTTGCATTTGCTTTGAAGACAAGCACAGGTTCCTGTTTGTATAGAGAAATGTACTTCAGTTCAGCTAATTGAAAATGGAACCCTTTCTCAGATTTTCCAGCTGGACGTTGCAAGCCCAGGTGCATAATCCCATTTTCTAGCTACTTTCATGCCCTTATGCATTCAGACAAACACGTGAAGAGTTTTTCAAAGTCACCGGCTTTAGGAATTTTGTACTATTTCTATAGCAATCTATGCATGATTGCAGTTGTGAGTAATCCCATTGATTTCAATAGGAATTATAAATAGTGCACAATTTCTTACTTGAGAGCTAGACATTTCCAAATTTATGGTTTCCTAGCAAAATATTTCCAGGTGAAGACACTGGAACTAATGATAATGAAACAATTTAAATATTGCAGATATGCAGAAACATCACACTTTTTGCTAAGGGTTATTATAATTAGAGCTGTGCAGACTTTTGGATTTAATTCCAAAGAGCGAATTACAAGTGAGATTGCAAATGGAGCAGTTACCAGCAATTCTAAAGCAGTCGTGTTTTTCTCCCAAAGCCACTGCAGAGAACAGAAGCATGACCCTGGGAAAAGATATCTACAGATAGACACTACATTATTCAAAGCACCTTTTCTAATATGTATCACTTCTGGCACAAGTTCTCAACACTTATTACTAACTCATCTGTGCTACTACCGGAAGCCTGATTTATAGAAACTGGGCAAATTAAGCTTTTCCAGGCATGAAGAATGAGGTTGTCTGTTTAAAGGAGGGATGTCAAACTTGCAGCCATGGGCTGGATGCATCACGCGTTAGTCACGCCCACCCCTGGTTTAGCGAAGGAGAAAAAAAAAGTTGTGATATGTCACGTGACAACGACGTGACGACCCAAGTTTGACACCCCTAGTTTAAAGGCAGGGAATGAAAGGAGCTTCTGTCTGCTAATTTGTATATAATAGAAAGCAGCTAACCAGCACACAGAAGATAGTAGGCCTTACACCAGGAATGGATCATATGCTGACTTTAGCTCGCATTTTTGCTTCCAGTGATATAAAAATGTTCAGTACTGTAACTGCAATTACTTAAGTTGCTCATCCCTGCCTTAATAACAGAGAAGCTTCAAAATATTGAAAGAAGGTAATAAATACTGAAAATAAACAGGAATTACAAGACAATGTAATAATATTCACATGATTATATCCCTCCAGTCTTGAATGAACAAAGAAAAATGAATGTCAGGTAAAGGTACATGTTATGTGATAACAGAAAGAGAAAGAAGTAATTGTTACTGGAGATTGAAAATTATGCTAATAAACTTACTGAGGATTTCCTGACTTGTACTGTATTGGATTGCAGGAAAAGGCTTATATATTTGTTAATGAGAATGTGAATGAGAAAAATATAGTATTGTGTGTAATACTTTCTGGTAATCATCTATTCTACCACAGTTATGTAACCAAGTAATTAAAACTACCTGTATTAAATACTTTTCTAGTTTGTGAGGCACAAAACCTAGCTTAAAGAAGTATGCTTATTAAAAATAAACAGAAAAAAAATCTAGAATGCAGAATGCAAAAGCTTAAAGGAATATTATTTTTTATAGAATGGAGTATAAATTCAGTGTAAGATTCCTACTTTCTGCTGTATAAAGTAGAGCTGTGGGAATATATGATGCAGTGATTTGATTCAGAGATTCAGATGAATCTATGAGCTGAATTGGTTTATTCAAAACAACTATTTAGTTCAGTGCAAACAGTTCAAACAAATCAGGAATCTTTTAATCAATTAATACTAATTTGGATGGTTTTCTATTTTTTTTATATATTTTGAAAGAATATAAGAAAGAATATAAGAAAAAATATATAGCAGCAATATATAAAGATACTGAAAGCAGATTTTGTTCAATGGCATCCTTTCATATGAAAGTAATGATAAATCACTCCTACACAGGTAGTTCTTGACTTACGACCACAATTGAGCCCAATATTTTTGTTGCTAAGACAGATAGTTGTTAAGTGAGTTTTGCCCTATTTTACGATTTTTCTTGCCACAATTGTTAAGTAAATCACTGCAGTTCTTAAATTAATAATACGGTTGTTAAATGAATCTGGTTTTCCGATTGAGTTAGTAGGTCGCAAATGGTGATCTCATGACAAGGACCAGGCACTGCAACAGTCATAAGAGTCAGTTGCCAAGCATCTGAATTTTTATCACAACCATGGGGATGCCATAATGGTTTGTGAAAAATGGTCATAAGTCACTTTTTTTCAGTGCCGTTGTAATTTTGAACGGTCACTAAATGAACTGTTGTAAGTCAGAACTACCTGTATTTTACCAAGAAAAATACATGCATAGGCAAGATAAAGTGATTGATGATATAGTGTTAGATAATGAACCCCTCATATGAAATGGCACTTAACAAGCTATAGAGGAAGAATAGAGGATATTTTAGAGTATTTACGTTTATGATCTAGCAGACTACCTGGCAAATTTTTGGAGAGCCTAGTTGCTGATGTTGCCATGCAGGGAAAGAAAACCAGAAGCTGTAAAAACAGAATCACAAAGGAACAAAGAATGTCAACACAGTGAGAAATAAATTGTTGGGTGGCATATATTTACTTAATGATAATAATGGATTGACACTTGATCTGAAAAAAAAATGGGCTCTGCACTTATAAGTGCTAAGAAGTAGAAAGAAAGAAATTAATAAACTATGCATACACATCTTAAGCATCAGCAAATTGAAATTTCAGTCAAGAGATCATACTGTTTCCTATTCATGACATCAAAACAAATATTTCATAGTTAGGAAAGATATAGCAAAGATATGGCTTGGGTATTTTTTTTTCTTTTTTGTTTTTTAAATAATTTTTATTAAACAGTTTGTCTTTCAAAAACAACACAAAAAACAATCAGACACATATAAAAAAAACAAGTCAAAACATAACATATTGAACATTACATACCGTCAGTGGTAATTTTACAGCATTCCATATTGACATATGTATTTTGCTTTTGTAGTTCTCTGTTCTATCATTTCTATTTATTTTTCAATAGTAGTATAATTGCATTATTCCAATGAAT